CCCCAAAACCCCAAAACCCCAAAACCCCAAAACCCCAAAACCCCAAAACCCCAATTTAAACGGTGATAATAGTTTAGGCATAAATAATTTGTAAAATGGCTTTGAGTAAGTGACCTTGTTGATTATTAAGTAATTAAGCTCAGTAATCTGTCTATCAAAATATTTCAATGTTTCTCTAAATCCACTTTATGAAAATATATGTTCAGTTGTGATTTAAGGCACAACAACTAAAGTTCACCTATATTTCTACTATAGGAACTCGGATTAGTAATGAAGAAATATTGGACATGATAAAACTCCCTCTTCTGGTCCCTGAACCTGATGTAAGTCTTTGAGCCTATTTTGTAGGAAGACCTTGCTCGAGAAAATCTTGATAATTTAATGAATGGAATGGAGCTTGAAGTTGGTATTCTCAACATTATTGATGAAGGTATCTCTCCTTTATTCATATTTCATAGAAGAAGGGAAAGATGATGACATCCAAAGTAATATGAAAATGGCTTATAAGATGAACAGTTACCTAAAGAACATTGCAAAAATTCCATTGTATTCTGAAAATAGTATTCCTTATGCCGAGACCGAAGACGACCTTGCTTCAAAGTCTGTTCCAGATGAGAACCCACTTGGAATTGGAAAAGTTCAGAAAGGTATTATTCCTTCTGCTACATGTAAAAGGAAAGATTCAATCGAAGAAGAATTTGATATTATCTCTGATAATGAAATAGAAGAGATGAAAGAGGAGTTTGATAGAAGGTCTAGTCATGCTGCTCCAGCTGAGATATATTACTCAAACTCTTACCCTGGAGCAGAAGAGGCTGATTATAACAGATACTCTGATCAGCAGCCCCAATATTTGCTAAACAACGGTTATCCTGCAGGAGTCTACCACCCTCCCCAACCAATCCCCGCTTACCCACACCAAACCCAACCCAGCACCGCAAACTGGGCATTCGGACAGCCCGTAATCAAAAGAGTAATGAGGCAGTTCTCCCAATAATCCTTCCTTCTTCAAATCCGTGTAAATTTCAATTTCCCAGGTAAAGATTGGGGTTTTGGGGTTTTGGGGTTTTGGGGTTTTGGGG